GCAGGGGGTTGGGGGGTGGGATGGGCTCTGGGCTGGGGCTGGGGATGGGGAGCCTGGGCTGCAGGCCCGGCCCCGGGTCCGTGGGCTCCCCCCACCCCATGAACCCCTCATTCCCCGCCCCACCCCGCAGCCCTCACCCCCATACCCCAACCCTCTGCCCCAGCCCTGAGCCCCTCCCACACTCCAAACTCCTCATCCCCAGCTTCGTTGGGTCACAGGCATCAACACTTTTCTTCAACTGGGTCCCCAGAAAAAAAGTTTGAAAACCACTGCTCTGTAGATCTCATAGTGCTTCATAAAGGATCAAAATCCCCACTTTACAGATGGGAAAACCAAGGCACAAAGAAGGGAAGTGACTTGCCCAGCAGGTCAGTAGCAGAGCCAGGAATAGAACCCAGGGTCCCTTGAGTCCGAGTCCAGTGCCCGACCCATTAGGCCCCACTGCCTAAAATGAACAAGAGCTGAACATGTTTTCCCCCAAGACCTCTCAGCCCAACCCTGGGGCTCTCTCTTTCCAGCTGCATCTTTCGCGCTCTCTCGGTGACTCTTTCCTTCTCACCTGATTTGCCGGATCCTCTGCATCCTAAGATCGCCACGTTGCACTCAGGCAGCAGGCTGGGGAGGTGACGGTCAGTGGTGCTGGGGGCGGCCCGTGGCTTGCCAAACATCGAGGACATTCTCTTGCCTTTCAAAGAGAGCGAGGAGAAAGCATGGGCGCATCCCAAGGAGACCGACCACCCTATGGGGAGGAGCTCAGGTTACAGAGCTACGCAAGTGCTGAGTGCTATCCTGTCCACCAGCTCCATCACCCCCAACAGCTTCTGCAGCACAGGCCCACCTCTGCCTCAGCGGGATCGAAGAGCATGGGGGGGACGTACGTTATTGGGGAGACAGGCACTCCCCCCTCCTCTCTCTCGCTCCTTCCCAGTTCTCTGCAGCAAACTCATCTTCAGCACCACCTGTCAATTTCCAACCTCCCTCGCAGGGCACCACTAACTTCTTCCCGGCCTGAAGAAGCGAACAGCACTAGGGCTTGGGAAATCAGGGCCGTGACATGTCGTGGGAAAGGAGCATGAAAGAAATCCCCCGTTCTCCTGAGTGCAATTTCTTTTGCATCCTTTAAATAAGCAGCAGCCCTGCAATGCGCAGCCTCCCCACAACACGCGCCTCCTTGCAGGAAAGAATTCACGTTAAGTTTTGCTGTGTATTTCCTGCAATTTCCCTCACCCATCCCGCCCCAACCGAACCCGCCATGAACACCCGGAAAAGGATGCTCGCTTTGCAAAGACAAGGCTGCAACTGACCTCTACCCCTGTGCCCTCCCCTCCCGCTATTAGAAACAGAAGAGAAATTAGTCCTCTAACCTTGAAATCAGAGCTGGATTTTCATGAGGGACACAGAGAGGATGAGTTTGCTGGGCAGGCTTTGTTGTTTATATCCACAGATCCATGGTTTGCCCCCTACACACACGCTCACACGCACGCACACGCCTCTTCAAGGCAAGGCCAGGCTGCACCCACACACCGATTCCAGAGGAACAAGCCAGCCACCAGGCACCGATAAGCCGAGTGAATCATTGGGAACTCGGCGGCTGCGCCGTCCCCACGGCTGCTGGCTCCAGACCTCAGCCCCGCGCGTGAATGAATGAGGCAGGGAGGAAGAGAGCTCAGGCTCCCTGCAACTTTCGCCAGCTGAGTCCCAGCCAAACTCCTTGTAAGGAAAGCTGCTGCCTCTCTCAGGCTCCGCTGGATATAATTTCCCATCAGCACAGGGGACTTTCCTCACAGCAAACAAATAAACCTGCCGAAAAGGCCTCCAAGGCTCACGGTTAAAGGGGATAGAAACACACCAGCTTGTGGTTCCCCTGGGGGCTTCTGTATGCTACGGTCCTGCCCCCCCCCCACCGACACTACAGCATCACCCTGCGCTGCACGGCATCCTTGCAGCACACTCGATACTAATACTTCCGTTATTAATAAAGGGTGGCTGCAAGAAGCTGTTAAAAGGAGAAGGAAAAACCTCTCTAGGAACCCACCCTCTCCTCTTCCCAAGCCCTCCTCAAATCACACGGCTCCCCACGAGCCTATCAACTAGTTCAGCCGCCACGCAAGGAAGTGCAGTTGCTCTGTAAGAAATACATATGTATATGTGATCATGTCATCTCCTCTGCACACTGTGCCGGCTGGGCCCGTACTGCCTTATCATCTCTCGTACAGAAACACAGAGACACCTCAGGCAGGATCAGGGTGCCCAGGATCACACAGGAAGTCTGCGGCTGCGTTAGGGATAGACCTTAAGCGTCCTGAGCTGCAGCCCCGTGCGCTATCCATCAGGCTGCCCTTCCGACCCTTAAATCCCTTCTGAAATTTAGCGGCCAGGGAGGTTTTGCTTTGGTCCCCAGGAAATGACTTGGGTAATTATGGGGGTGCTTGGCTAAATAAACTCAGAGCATCCGAAGAAAATAAGCAAGTAATAGCATGGGACTTGGTTTGCCTGGACTGGAAGTGCTGGGGCGGGGGGGGGCAGGACCAGGTTTTTGTTATTCATTTGTGATGTCCGGTGTCCTGATCTCTAGGGGCTATCATAACACAAAGAGTACATCAGCAGCAGCTCTCTCAGATGCTTTGGGAAGTGAATCTGCCCGGCCCAGTTTAATAGCTCAGCTGGTGTTTATATATTTTTTTCATGTGCTGAAGGTCAGCAGAGGCCAACTTTTTCCAGAAAGTGACCAAACATAGCTGAAGACAGTAGGTCCGAGTCAGCTCCCCGTTAGGCCAGTGAAAACCCAGAGTGACTTCTCTGAACTCCATAGAGTTCCCCCCCGTCGCCCAGCAGAGTCAGGAATAGAACCCAGGCATCCCAGCCCCCAGTCCTAACCACTAGGTCTCACTGCTTCCATTCATTCATTTGCTGCAAGAGATTTGTAGAATGCCTGTTGCTGTAGCAACTGGCTGTTGCTGTCATCTCCAAAGCTCCCTGCTCCAGCAGGCTTTAAAGGGGCTAATGAGTCTGCCAACCCCCAAAGGGCCAGTTTGGGGGCAACACAATAAGCAAAACAAAGCAACCTCCCCATCCCACAAAAATCCCCTAATAATACACTCAAGCCATCAACCAAAAGCTAAACAAACTCAGCTGGTGTAAATCAGAGTAGGTGGTGTGAACTGAAGTCAGTGTTGCTACGGTGATTTATACCAGATTAGGATCCGGCCCTGTCTATTTGGATCACACAGACGCATGTGCTTGCTTGGCGATCCGTCATGCAGTCCTTAGGCCTGGTCTACACCTAAAATTCAGGTCACCCTAGTGACAACACTTAGGGGTATGAACAATCCACGCTCCTGAGCACGGCAGCTAGGCCGACCTTGCCATGGTGTGGACACGGTTAGGGTGATGGAAGAATGCTTCCGGAGAGCTAGCTACCCTCGCGTAAGGAGGTGGATTACCTATCGTGAGGGAAAAAATCTCTTGCATTGCTGTAGGCTGCGTCTACACTCCAGGGTTATGCCAGCCTCGCTATGGCACCAGAGCTACCCACTATAGCTCCCGTAATGCAGATAGGGTGGCCAGGTGACCCGGGTGTAGGGGTTGGAGGGGAAAAGCAGTGAGCAATGAGGGGGAGGGGGAAGAGGAGTGAATGGGGCGGGGCCTCAGGGGAAGAGGCGGGGCAGGGGTGGGGCCTCGGGGGAAGAAGCGGGACAGGGGAGGTTCCAGCACCCCTACTGGAGTGTCCAGTTTTTAAATATTACCAAGTTGAGAACCCTAAACGTAGACATGGCCTTGCTCACACCGGGCTCTGAGGGATTTCATTGGGAGAGAACGCAGGACTGGGCTCCTGCTTTGCAAATTGCTTTGGGCTCCCTTGGGACGAGCAGCTCTCTTTTAATATACATCATTACAGCGTTACTATTCTGATTGTCATCCGTGAAAACAAGGGAGTTATTTTTAAACCTGCCAGAAATAGTCGCTGATCCTGCCTGTGCCTTGGAGACAGGCTCTGGTGATACTATCAGCTAGATGCAACAGTTAGCTCCTTTTCAGTACCGGGAAGCCAGAGGTCATGCTGGGACCGCCATAGAAGCAGTCATTTTTCCACAGTGACCTCTATTTCAATAAATATGGTAACTGGTCATTACTGACGCTCCCATGCAAAAATGGCTCATTTTTCTAGCAGCTCACATAAAACAGTCTTATCAAAACACCCACCCGTTAACTACAACCCATTACTGGCACTCACTGTAATTTATGGTGCAGTTAGCAAGGCCCTTACATAAACACAGCAAAGCACTGGAAAAGTCAGGTCACCAGGCCTAATTAACGGAGGGCCTAATCCTGCAGCCTTTAGACAAACAGCCCCTCCTTTGGGCCCGGCCCCGATCGCACACTTACTGAAATCAGGAGTAGCTCCAAAGGGAGCTCCGAATCCGGCCCAGTGAGATTGCTCCTATGAGTACGGGCTGCAAAGCCAGACCTCAAAACTCACACACTGGCTTAATGAACACAACACAGGCCAAAACACTTCCCTGGTGCTGGCAGCACAGACAATTCCGTCCATTTTCACAGCCTTGCCCTCAGCTGGTGTGAATCGGCTTCGCTCTGTCGCGTTCCGAGCAGCAACGCCGATTTGCGGCCTTCTGAAAAGGTGCCAGGCCCAGCATGAGGTCAAAGGAGCCGATTCTGATCTCCCTCTACCTTTACATCACAGCTAGTCCATTGGCTTCAATGAAACTAACGCAAGCCCCCAAATGCCTCCACTTCAATCACCCCCAAAACATGGTATGGGCTACCCCCATGCTGCTTGAAGCAGCAGCCGTAGACTCTGCAGTCGCTTGGTGACTTCACCTAAGGATCTCAAAGCCATTTATTAATTCAGCCTCACAGCACCCCCGGGGGTAGTATTGCGCACACCCCCCAGAGAGGCTCAAAGAGCGCAATTGACCATTAGGCCATGCCACCTCCCTTGTGCGGTATTGCTTCTGTGCAATGGTTTTTGCCAAACGTTGTAACAACTGACTCGTGCTAAGAGTCCCAAGCCCTGTGGCTGTGCCAGTAGCCAGTAAAGCCAAAACTTACAGCCATTCAAGAGAGTGCCCTCCTGTCTGAGGGCTCTGTTCACCTTGTGGTGGAGAGGCTGGGTTTCTACACCAGCTCTGAGAGACAGGGCCAATGACCCAGATGCCCTGCTGTGTCCAGTTCGCGGTAGGTGCAGCTGAGGGGGTCACAGTTATTGTTTGCAGCTCCCTGATCCTGGGCCCACTCCCTAGCGTAGTTTAGAGCAGCCTCAGTGCTGCTCTAAACTACTCCAGCTGGCTAGTATGCAAACCGGGGATTACCAGAGTGTAGCAGTGCTCTGGCCATGCCATCTTCCTCCCAGCCTTGTGAGCAATACAGTCATACCCCCATCCTCTGGTGTGAGAAGTGTTATGTATTCCCACTCTAAGATGATCTAGGAATGCCCTCGCCCTAGGGGAATGCCCAGCCAGCTGGCTCCACTGGTTTACAGCTGCTTTGCACTAGCCCAGTGCAAAGGGATTGAATCTAGACCAGTGTTTCTGAGAGCGCAGTAGGGAAGTGCATATAACACCTATAAGAAGGTGTAGGGTGCCCATCAACCCATCCCTATGGTGCTTCTAGTGATTCTCTCAGAGTTAGGGCCCCGAGTCCTTGCGTACTGGGACAGCACAGACCAAGGCTGCATTTGGTCCTTGCACAGCTCACAGGGTAAAGGACACAGCTCCTAGCACCCCCAGCCCTCCTGCCCCCACTCATAGCTAGCCACAGTCTATTCCCTGCCACCACTTTGCTACAGGTGGACCAAGGGGACGACATTAGCAGCCCTTCTCTTTCGGGCTGCGTGTGTTGAAAATTAATCACAGTTCAGAGCTAAGTGTTTTTTCAAACCCGAGCCCTTGCCAGGTATTTGGAGAGATAAATCACGGCAACAAAAGCAAAGACGACATGTCCGAGATGCTGCTGCATGAGAGAGCTGTGCTAATCGTTCCTGGAGCCGAGGGGGAAAACAACTTCATGGGGCAGTGCAACGTAAATATTTATATGATTCAAAAAGGTCTTGCAAAGATCATCATAAAATTCCCCTGTTATTAAGGCTTTAGGTGCTAGGGTGGAATTTGTTTAGCTTACATCCCGAAACTGTGATGCTTTTAGACGCTAATAGCCTGCTGTTTTTCTTTGCCCCATGTGTGCCTGCAAACATGAGCTAGACTCCACTGTGCTGATATCAGATCTGGCAACCTGGGTTTGCAAAAATAGCACTTTATGGTACATGTCTTTATATAGCTATTTTACCAGAATAGCAGATATTGCAAAATCGCCCGAGTAATCTTACAAACAAAATCCCTAGGATTCCCAGGGGGAGTGAAAGATTCGCTCTTTAGATTGAGCTTTAAGTTAAGCCACGATGAAGGGACCCACTAGAGGATGCTTCCAACCAAATGACTTTCTTCCTAATGCACACTGGAGACAGCCCAGGCTGGAAGAATGAAGGAGCACGTGGCAGAAGATACCAAATTCCCATCTGCTGCGGGGTGCTCTCAGGCGAGCCACTTTAAATGGTGACTAACCATATGTATTGCAGCAGCACCTAGTGACCCCCACTTGAGAGCGGGGACCCATTGTGCTTGGGGCTGCCCCTGCCCCAAAGAGTTTACAGTCTAAATAGACAAGGCGGACACAGGGAAACAGAGGCAGGTGAAGTGATCTATCCAAGGTCACACAGCAGCTCAATGGTAGAGTCAGGGATAGAGCCTAAAGTCTCCTGACTCCCAGGTCAGTGCTCTATCCACTAGCCCAAGCTGCTGCCCCACTC